AGTCAGGGAAGGCCTCCCTTACACAGGAGACTGTAGGCTGAGACCTGCAGGATAGGAGGAGAATGGATTCCAGGTGGAGGCCACAGCTTGTTCAAGACCTTGGCAGGAAGGAGCTTAGCCAGTGTGGTTAGAGCATTGTGAGGAGGTTAGGGTGGTGTCTGATGAGATTGGGAAGGAGACAAGGCCAGATCATGCAGGTTTTACAAACTGTAAGGAGTTCAGACTATAACCTCTAGCACTGGGCATGGTGGTGCTAGGTAAAATACAGAACACCCAGTCAAATTTGAATTTCAGACAAATAACAACTTTTTAGTGTAAGTATGTTCTAAATATCACAAGGGTCATACATATATTAAAACATATTTCATTGTTTATTTGAAATTCCAATTTAACTTGTTATCCTGTTTTCCATTGTTTTTTGTTAAGTCTGATAACCCTCGTTGAGAGTTGCTGAAAGGTTTTTGGTAGGTAAAATACAGAACACCCAGTCAAATTTGAATTTCAGATAAACAACAGCTAACTTTTTAGTTTAAGGTATGTGATCCCATTTGTATTTGAAGAAGACCCCTTCGGTTGCTTTGTGGAGAATGGTAAAGGGTAGCAAAGTTCACTAACAGTAGTAGTTAAGGAGACCAGTCAGCCCGGCACAGCAATCCAGAGGAGGGGTGGTGGTGGCCTCGCCCTGGGAGACCAGTGCTTCTCCAACATTAATGTCTAAAGGAATCATCTAAGCCTCTTGTTAGGATGAACTCCATTCAGAAGATGTGGGGTGAGATCTGAGATACTACATTTTTAATAAGCTTCCACGTGGCACTGACCTTGCTGGTCCCTTGAGCAAGCATGTCAGACTCAAAGGTAACAGGGGCCAAATAAACAAGGATTAAGTTTATGTGGGCTGCAAATAAACAAAAGCTTCAATTTTCATAGAAATGTAGATTTATTTCGATAGAGACATGCTGAATGCAAAGGGCTGAAATAAATAAATAATCATTAACATAAAATAATAGAACATTTTAAATAAAATTTAATATTTTTCTTGAACATTAACTTACCAGACACTGAATAACTATACAAAATTAATAAGCATGACACAAACAAACCTATTTTTCTTATTCTCAGAAAGCGAAATATTTCCTGTTATGCACACCAAACAAGTCAGTCCAAGACTAATGATGTGGCAATTGACTGCTAACATATCTGCTACTGGTATTAGTGGAGGGAAAGGTGTGCCTGCACGTAAGGCGCATAAGGGAAATAAATGCAACATGGTTATAGTAATTAGTCATTAGCGAACATTGTAGTTTGTTATTAATAATTATGTATAATAGGATATTGTAAAAATTAAGTGACAAAATTTTTATTAAAATATTTCTTATATACTGTTATACTAGAGACCCCATGCACAAAGATTCATGCAAGAATGAGCCTTTCTTCCCCTGGCTGCTGGCACTGCCTTCACTCAGTCAGGGAGCTGCCTTTCATCCTTCCCACACTACCTAGAGGCCCGGAGCAGCTGGTGTGGGTGGCACACCCCTTCCCTGGCCACTTGGCGCCTGCATATGCAAATTAACCCACCAGCTTTGTTGTGTTAATTTGTATATTCACTCCTGATTGGCTGGTGGGCGTCATGAAGGTACAGTCAATTAGCATCTTACTCTTTTATTAGTGTGATTGTCTGGGTATGAGTTTGACATGCTTGCCCTAGGTCAAAGGTTGGCAAACTATTGCCCATTGGCTAAATCTGGCCTGCTGCCTATTTTTGAAAATAACATTTTATTGAAATATAGCCACTTGTTTCCATATTATCTATGACTGCTTTCATGCTATGACTGCAGAGTTAAACAGTTGCAACAGAGATTCTATGTCCCATAAACCTAAAATACAGTATTTACTATATGGCCCTTATCAGAAAAGTTTGCTGAACCCTGTCTTAGACCACACTTTGAGTAGCAATGGTCTAGACTTGGGCGATTACCAAGGAGATGGAGAGAAGTAGGCAGATTTGAGGTATATGTGAAGGCACAGAGTGTGGAACCCACTGGTGTGCTCAGCATTCCCTTCTGATGCAAGCCTAGGCACCTGGAACTGCAGGATTTTTTACCTTACATTGTTGTGACAGCTGAGAACCTGGCTAATCGATGTTGATTCATCATAGAAATGTTAAACCATTTGTATTCTAAGGCCAAGGGGTTTTATTTGGCATATGTTGTACGTCTATGTACACATGGAAAGTATAAAGATACTGCAAAATGGTAACCTGAAAGAATCAATTGTCAGAACAGTAAAAGTTGAAGCTGTCTCCCATCATCTTTACTGCTGGCTGGTTTTCCATCTCTCCTATCTCATCTTCCATGGTCTCTACTTTTTTATGGGGATGGTCTGTGTAGTAATTATGGGAGGGATGATAGCACAGTGCTATCAGTAAGAAAGTATTCTTTCCTTAACCTCCTTTCTGTCTCTTAATGGAAGGAACTACCCGGTGCTTACCTAAGAGGCAAATTATTCTAAAAGAAAACAGAACATGATTTTAGAAGGACAGAAGGACTGTAATTCCATGAGCAATTTTTTTCATGGATGCATTCATTTGGGGTTCTTAGAGTTGCCACTTTGATAGACCCCATGATAAAAGCACAAGATACATAATAAACTTGTATAATCTTATATAATAAAGAAGTAATATGCAAATTAACCCTTATGTTCTCACAAGATGGCTGCCTACAACCAGGCTAGCAGAGGAGTTAATGAGGAATGACCAAACAATTGAACAGCAGACTATATGGGATGACCAGGCCAGCAGGGGGCGGGAGCAGTAAGGGGTGACCAGGCCAGCATGGGAGGAAGTTAGGGAGTAGGCAGGCAGGCAGGTGAGTGATTAGGAGCCAGTGGTCCAGGATGGTGAGAGGGATGTCTGACTGCCAGTTCAGGCCTAAACTAGCAGTCAGACATCCCCCAAGGGTCCTGGATTGGAGAGTGTGGGGGGAACCCCCTCCCCTGCACGAATTTCGTGCACTGGGCCTCTAGTAAATCTATAAGGCAATATCATACAACAAAGTACTAAAATGTCTTATGTTAATTAGATGTTACCTAGACTTTTGGTGATTATTTTGCAATAATCAAATATTGAATCATTATGTTGTACATCTGAAACTAATATGTTATATGTCAATTTTTAAAATGTGCATTAACTTAGAATTCAGTTGCTATTTATAAACATATCTATCAGATCTTAGGAGAAAAAAAGTACAGTAATAATATTAACATTATTTGTTAATAACATTAACAAATAATGTTAATATTATTATTAATATAATAATAATAATAATAATATTATGTTTGCCTCAAACTATGTTTGCCTCATCTTTTCCTAAATGAAAGCAAAGCTTCATATCGAACTAACATTTGCATACAAAAAACCTATATAAAACAGATGTAGCTTAATATTAGACTATGTTCACTATCACTTGCCAGCTTTTGACTTTCAGGAATACTGATGACATATTTCCACAATACTACAGGCTGCAAGCTAGCTTTATCTCTGATGTTTACTCCCCCATTTGATAAAAATGTACTGTTTAAGTTGGGTGATCTTACCACACACATTACGTTAAACATATTACTATAGACTTGCGCATACATACATTGATACATTATGGATCATGGAAGCTGAGGTAGGAGAGATGGAAAACCAGCCAGCAGTAAGAAAGACAGGAGTTAGCTTCAACCTTCGCTAGCCTGACAAATGATTCTTTTAGATTACCAGCTACCATGGACTGACATGCAAATTTTCAAATAGCGATAAAATTATACATTTCATAAAGGTAAGTTAAAATAAAATAAAATGACATCATTTAAAGACCACTCCAGGGGTTTTAAAAGTTATGAATTTTGAGAAATTGCTTTGTGTATTTTAGCTTTCTAGGATGTTATTCTATACACTGAAGCAGTAACATCAAATGGTGGCCTAGTGCTATGTTAGCATCAAGTTAATTCCAATTTCTATGGAACATAATTTACTATTAGATAGTTATTTAACTCTGGGATGCCACAATTTGCCTTCAGAGTCAAGGGGAGTAGCTGTTTTGTAATGAGTCATTGTGATGTTGGAGTGTCCTGACTGTTATTATTCACCTTTTGATTAAATGGGACTGGTATTCCTTTCCACCATTTGGGCATTGCATAACAACCACAAATAGGAGAGATTAAGCTTGTGTAACAGACAGAGTTATTTTACTTGGAAAGCTGGAGTTGTTTAGAGATAATGGATACTAGATATATCAGGAGGGAGAGCTGACCAAAATAAAAATCTGTCTTTCTTTCATCTACAGCAACACTTTCACTTCGGGTCACATTGACGCCAAGAGCATCTGCTTTATGAAACACTCTTGCTTTCCATGCATGCATTTATGTCAGAATCCAAACAATTTTTTTTCACTGGATTGCTAAGCCTTGGCAAGTTTTGGAATTCCATGTTAAAATGGAAGGTGTTTTCCCCATGATCTAATGGGTAATAAAGAAGGGAAGGGCAAAGGGCTGAAAAATGTGCTGTCACAAAAGTCTTTTTTATTCTCTTCCCAAATTTTGTACATTTCAACAAACGTGTTAAATCTCTTACTGATGTGCCTGGGTGCTGAGGCATAGATGAGGGACATAAAGCAGATGAGTAAAGGGAAAAGCCTCCTTTTCGGGAGGCACCTGAAAGGATGAGCAGACGAGAAAGAACAAGGACTGCCAAGAGGTTTTGCAATATGAGGTTGTCTGAAATGAGATTGGAAGAAAGCTCGCAGACGAAAGATTTGGTCTGCATCATGTCCTGGAAGCATTATAAAGGAGTGCTTTATAAAGGAGAAATCATTACAAGAGTGCACACATCTATTTGCATGAATTAGCAAACCCTGGAGAGCGTCTGAAATGTGTTGCAAGTGCTGACCTGAAGTGAAGGTCACTGATTTCCCCACAACATCAGGCACCAGTGCGAACTGAGCAGCGTCTCAGGAGCAAACCTTTCCTGCCAATGTTGAAAGATCATAGCCTCCAGTCATCTGCATCTCGCCCATGAGCTGGTTGTTCTAAAAAGAGAAGCCAATATTTTACTGTACGAGGAAACCTGTAGAGCACATTTTTCTGTCTGCCCAGCAAGTGGCCAGATTTCGCCTCACAAAGATAGCACAAATAGCGAATGCAGGATCTTGGTTGCCTATGGTTACCAATAGCCACTCGCTGTTCCTGTGCTTGAGACAAAGCATTCTAATGACTGGGGGAGAGAGGGAATGGAAGGAGTGCCAAGAGGACAATCAAACCTAATTTTGAAACAGAAAACTGGAAGCGTCTCAACCTCTCCTGAGGCAGACGGAAAGGGAGAAGACAGCCATACTCCAGGGGCGGGGAGAGCCCCGGGAGTCCCAGGAGTGGGCCAAGCATTTGTCCACTGTGCCAACATGTCTGCAGCGGGGAACAATGAAACTGGTTCCCAACGCAATGACAGGCCTCCTCCCCTCCCTGCCAGCGCAGGTCCTCTCCCGCAGCAGATGTCGAGGGCAATTCTAACAGGCCAAGCACCAAGAACCACTGCACTTACCTTCAGACATGGATGACAGACAAAGCCTCCGGAGCTATCTGCGGTGCTAGGAAAATGAGACTCCGAACTTTTGTAGAAGACTTTTCACTCAGATCTCATGAGGTTATGAGCATGTGCTTTCACGAGGCTTCTGTAAGGTACATTACCCTGTCCTAACGAAACACACACACACGCGCACACTCACCAAAATATGGATTGTTAGTGAATATCACAACAGATAACATGGGGGCAAAACAGCAAACCCAGTGCAGACAAGTTGTTTTCTAACTTCATTACGGAGACTCAGTCAAGGAACTGAAGCAAATACCCTTCAGGCTTCATGACTCAGCAAGACAGCCGTAATGGTAATGATGCAACCCCTTGCTGCAAACAATGACCTGAGGGAGCAGGCGACAGTGTAGGCACCATGTGTACATTGAGGAACAGGACACTTCTCCCACTACTCCTGTGGACAATTATTGCTTTTGCCAGGTCAGTGCTTGCTTCCCTGTTTCTGCCAAAACGGCTCTGCCTCCTTCTGAGGGGAATTCATTCCATGTGGATCAGGTGAAGCGAGGCCTCAACCATGCAAACCAGCGATGCCTGCAGCTATCCCCAGGCCTGGGCTTTCCTCCTACCAAAGCCGATTTATTCCCTGAGGAGTTTTCTTGGATTGGTTTGAATTGGATTCTGTCACCCGAAACTGACTCTCGATCTAGACATAGAGTTATTTTATAATAGAAATGGTCATCAGAGAAGGGGAAAAAAACAACAGGCAAATAAACAGTATAATAGTTTTACCAATGAAACAGGGCTTATCTTTTTTTTAAATAATATATTTTATTGATTTTTTACAGAGAGGAAGGGAGAGAGATAGAGAGCCAGAACCATCGATGAGAGAGAAGTATCGACCAGCTGCCTTCTCCACACTCATTACTGAGGATGTGCCCGCAACCAAAGTACATACCCTTGACCAGAATTGAACCTGGGACCTTTCAGTCCGCAGACAGACGCTCTACCACTGAGCCAAACCAGTTTTGGCTGTTTTTTTATCTTTTTGTTCAAGAGGAAAAATAAATGACTAATATGTTTTTACGTCTGCTTGATAAGGCATTCACTCCTTACTGCAAAGGAGTGGAGAGAGTTCTTGAAAGTGATCCATTAAGTTAGATTAAAAATAATTATTTTCTTTTTGTTGGAATGAATCTTTTATTCTGGATAAAAGAATATCCAGAATTCCTGGATCTTTTGCTGTTTTTGTACAGACATTTATAATCATAAATTAGCAAGCAATCATGTCAATATGTTAAGAAATTGTCAAGAATGTTGAAGGAGAAAATGTTATTTCTAGAGGTTCTAACATACAGGAGTTAACAGAAGAAGAATTTCTGCATATTAGACTCAAATATGTTCCTTAAAAAATACACACACACACACACACACACACACACACGTACACATATCTATCTATCTATCATCTATCATCTATCTGTTTCTGAGAGAAAGAGAGAGGGAGAGAGAGAGAACCATCAGTGATGAGAGAGAATCATTGATTGGCTGCTTCCTGCATGCCCCACAACCCTGCACATGCTCTGACTGGAAATTGAACCTCAACTTCCTGATTCATAGGTCAATACTCAACCACCAAGCCACACCAGCTGGACTCTTTATATGTTCTTTAAAAATGTGTTTTTATTGATTTCAGAGATAGCCATGGAGAGAGAAATATCGATGTGAGAGTGCAACATTGACCAACTGCCTCTTGCACACTCCTTACTAGGCATCAAGCCTTCAACTTGGGCAGTGTCCTAACTGGGAATTGAACTAGTGACTTCCTGGTGTATAGAACAATGCTCAACCAATTGAGCCACACCAGCCAGACTCAAATATGTTCTTAATAGTGGCAGGAAAAATAAAATTTCAGGACCTCCAGAGGACTGAGGTATATAGATACAACTATTAAATCACAAAGTTTAATGTAGCAAATGAGATTTTTTTTTTTTGCCAGATCAGAGTGTATTTCACAACACTTCTATTATCATCTCTATTCTATTAATTAAAAAAACAACACAATGCCTCAGAAAGCTAAATAATGTGTTCTAAGTCACATAGTAGGGTGTGGTGTTAAGCAAATCTTATTTCCGAAGGTCTTACTTAAGTGAAAGTTTATAATGTGTTTATTTTCATTTATTTACTAGAGGCACATTGCACGATATTAGTGCAAGAATAGGCTTTTCTTCCCCTGGCTTTGCTCCTAGCTGCCTAGGAGCTGGCAAGTCCCCGCTTCTGGCTGGAGCACTACTCCTATAGCTCCCTCCACTGCCCTCCCTCCCCCTCATAGCAGATATTGCACCCCAGCCATCGCTCCATCCCTGCATATGCAAATTAAACTGTCATCTTTGTCAGGTTAATTTGCATATACACTCCTGATTGGCTGTGGGCATAGTAGAGGTACGGTCAATTTATATTTTTGTCTATTATTAGGTAAAATATTGTTGATAGTATTACAGGTGTCTTCTTTTTTCTCTCCCTTTACCCACCTCTACACAGCCTCTGTCCTTCTCCCTCTGGCCACCACCACATATATGTTCTTTGGCTAATCTCTTCACCTTCTATAATATGTTTTAAATATTAGATTTGTCTTTAATTCATCTGGAACTTATATCTCCCAAGTATGTGTATAGTGAAATGTCTAAATACCATTTATTAAATTGTTTATTTTTTCCCCTACTAGTTTGAAATGTCATTGATTTTGACTTGATAATATTTTATTTTAATTGTTCATCTTATCTTCATAAGATTGGCCTACAGTTTTAAAGCAAAACGATGTTGGCCTCATATAATGAAGTGGGTGGTTCTTTATTTTTTAATTTTTTTAAAATTTTTATTTTTCAATTACAGTAGAAATTCAATGTTATATATATATATGTTATATATATGTTATATACATATATATATATATATATATATATATATATAATGTCAGTGCACATCATAGCTACTGGTCAACCGTCAACCAGTCATTATGACTGATCAAGTGAATGACTGATTGAATGACTGGTTGACCGGTAGCTATGATGTGCACTGACCACCAGGGGGCAGACACTCAATGCAGGAGCTGCTCCCATATTATTGACTATATTACCTTAACATCCTTGTGATATTTTTTATTTTATTAAAAACATTTTTATTGATTTCAAAGAGGAAGGGAAAAAGAGAGAGAGAGAAACATCAATGATGAGAAAGAATCATTGATAGGCTGCTTCCTACATGCCCCCTATTGGGAATTGAACTCGCAACCCCAGGCATGTGCCCTGACCAGCAATTGAACCATGACCTCCTGGTTCATAGGTTGATGCTCAACCACTGAGCCACCCTAGCTGGGATCAATATGAAAAGATGCTTAATATTACTAATCATCAGAGAAATGGAAATGAAAACCACAATGACGTGTCACCTCACATCTATCAGAATGGCTATCATCAATAAATTTCTTAATTCCTTAAACTTATTGCCCAGTATCCCAAACCCCTCCCACTCTGGTAACTACCAGACTGTTTTCAAAACTATAAGTCTGTTTCTATTTTGTTTGTTCATTTATTTTATTCTTTAGGTTTTAAATATAAGTAAAATCATATGGTCTTTATCTTTCTCTGTCTGATTTATTTCACTTAGTATAATACTATCCATGTTGCCACAAATGGTAAGATTTCATTCCTTTTATGGCTAAATAATATTCCATTGTACATAGTATGTACCACTACTTTTTCTATCTGCTGGTCTGTTGAAGGGTACTTGGGTTGATTCCATATTTTGGCTATTACAAATAATCTATCTATACAATAGAGGAATATGCAAATTAGCTTGAACATTGCAATGTCACGACTGAACAGCAGGAACCTGAGGCTACATGGCACTAGGTCAGGGCAAGGGATCTCAGGCCATGCCCCCTGTCCCTCGAGGTTTGATGGGGACCTTAGGCTGGGCCCCTTGCCTGGTGAGGTTTGTCAGGGGATCTCAGGTTGCCGAGCTGGGAGACCTCAGGTTGTGCCCCCACCGCAGCACCAGGCCAGAGGACCTCAGGCTGTTCCCCCTGCCCGGAGGGGCTTGACAGGGAACCTCAGGCCACATCCCCATCCCGGCAGGGCTTGATGGGGGACCTGAGGCTGTGGTACCCCTCTCCCCCTCACACCAGGAGGGCCTTGATGGGAGTGAGGCCAGCTGAGTCTGGGTCTCCTGCATTTTTGAAGTGCATGTGGGTGGTAAGCAGGGACTTGACTCTGGGTGCCATGGTGCACCCCAGACTCTGACAAGAGGAAGATTTTCATATACATTTTACTAATTTTCTTTCATCTCTGACACTTCTATTATAGAGAAAGGGCAAATAGCAATATTAAAATGTTTGCTCTAATTAACTCACTTTTAATGTGCATGAATTTCATGCACCAGGCCACTAGTGCTACAATGAACATAGGGGTGAATATATTCTTTGGAATTAGTGTTTTGCATTTT